ACAGTCCCGCCCCACGATGGTCGCTGCAAACCGCCACGAAGGAGGCTCCTTCGTCCTCTCGTGGTAGCGGTTTGCCCATCCTGTGGCAAAATTGTCCCGCCGTCGTTGGGTGTGCAGGTCGTTTTGATGACAAGAAAGCCCGAGCGTAGAGCTGGGGTACTGGATGCTACGCCGGAAGTCAGTCGCGAATATGAGCCAAGACGAGTGAAATCGCACGTTTCTTCGTCTATCCCCGTCCAGCTGTCGCCCCACGGCCTTTGAGTTGTGATACGACGGGCATGCCGCGGGCTGTGAGTGTGTCGCACTGCAAGCGGCGGAGGGAGGAAGCGGATGGCAATGGTGTTGACGGTAAAGGGAAGAAGAGGACCAGTGTGATCCGCATCGTCACCAGGACCCGACGATACGACGCTCGCCGTTGTGGGCACGTTGTTTCTCGAAAGGTTTTTGTTGTCAACAGCGCCGATTGCGCGTGGGGGGTGGAAAGACAATTGAAGTGGCGGCGTTATGTCACAGGCGCGTCTTCTAACTGTTCTTCCACTCGCTCTTTGTAACTTCACGAAACGCGTGCTACTGGTATGGGCGGCTTGACAAGACACACGGACTACGGTTCAAGAGATGATTGCTAACGACCTAGCTCGCGTCTGCAGTCAATCTTGGACTTCGCAGACAATTCAGAGACGCCGAAAAACTTCTATGAGTTTCTAGTGTCCTCCTCAAGATCTCACGAGCGACGAGTCAAGCTCATATTTGTCCACACCAATCAAGATTCCACGCCGAAATGACTTGTACCTAGTCACCCTGCCCCCACTTGTGGGTCCAACGGAGGTGCCACACGCGGCCCGGAGGACTATAAAAGCAGACAGCATATTCCGTCTTTCCTCACCCACCGCTGAGTCGGAGTCATGTCGACGAGTTCTCCCCAGAGCAATACACGGAGTCAGAGGTCCTCAGCTGGGAGAAGGCCCGCTGGGGCGAGCCATGTTAAGCCTGTTCCGAGTCCCCAGGCAAGCATTGAGGAGGCTCCTGGTGGCGTTACTCGTGGAGCTCAGGCTGCTCAGCAGCTTTTATCACCCTTGGGTGCGACGGGTCCTCAACAATCTGGGACTCTGGCCGATCTCTCTCGGTTTACAAGCCCTCCGCTCAACGGTCAGCCGGCCACTGTGACCCCTAGCGGGCTCAATCAATACTACACATATCCACTCCCCAACGACTTCAACAACCCCGGACAATCGGGGGTGTTGTCGCCGTTATATTCACAGCTAGAGGCAGTGTTGTAGATAAGGGTCTTAATAAGGGTCAGTCTCCAAGATAAGGGCTTATTATGGAATTTGCCCTTATTAAGGGTCCTGATAATAAGGGTCTTATTAAGGGAATTTCCTTTTTGGGACACCAAGGTTTGAAGCTCATTTAAAGGTTGTGATCATTGCCTGAGCCCTCCATTGCACCATCATCAAGTTCCTTACCACTGTATTCTGCCAGCAACAGCTCCATTAGCCAACCCTCCTCTGTAAATGTGGCCCAGCACCCATGCTGACAGGCGGCTGTGCAGCCGTGACCTGTTACTTGATGCAATCAATAAGCATATTAAGGGCCTTATCTTGGACTAGCCACAAGATAAGGGTATATCATTACCTTGAAAATAAGGGTTATTTTCAATAACCCTTATCATCTTATCTACAACACTGGCTAGAGGGCGCTATCCGCAATTACACGTTTCCGATGGGGTCTGCTGCAACGCATGAGCCTGAGCACTCGGTTGACGCTGATGTCTCTACTACTGCAATTCATGATCAGACTACCAGCGACGGCGACAACATCCATCGATATCCTCCGTGGACAACGCCGCCATACCGATCCGAGTCGCCGCATTCGCTGTCTGCCGAGTCCCTACTAGAACTTGAACGCAACCAATCAAGTTTGGGTCTCGTCTTAGGCTCGCCGTCCGCTCACCGCCAACAGCAAATCGAACACGCGATGGCGACGTCGACCACCGATAGGACCACTACTAGCCGTGACTCGCCAAGTTCCGACGCTGACTTGGACTCGGACTCGGACTCGGATTCTCAGTCACTGGAAACTTGGCCACACCGCAGACGTCATCGTCGGCTCTCAACTTCAGCGGTACATGATACGTCGCAGCTTGAAATATGGGGAATAAACTCCAGGCATGTATCTTCATCTGTTGTGCATGGCATCTTTCGTCTGCTTACAGCATTCTCTGGACAGTACTAGCACGCTTGTGCACACTAGGGGCACAGCCTACGGCTTGCCGGAACACGCGGGTCAAACGCGTGGCTGACCTCGTACCTACCGCGGGCCAGCCGCGTTGCTAGCGCGGACCCAGAAACAAAGAATTTCTTTGTCCTAGGACAAAGAAAGTTGTCACTGAGCAAGCCCGCGGTAGGTATGCGGTGAGCTCTGCGGCCGGCCCGCGTGTTCCAGCACGCCTTAGGTAATGCCCCCAGTGGCAGGGAAGGCCTCCGCGGGACTTCAACCAGTGGCCCGGACCATATTTCCGTCCAATCGCCGACAGGATACAAACGTAGGCAGGCATCTTCAATTCATGTATCGTGTTAGCTGACTATTGCCCCTTGGGGTAGTCCTTATCCGGTCCAAGCTACCCTGACGCCGGCGCGTCGCTTGGTAGAGGCACCACCATCGGCATATACTACTGGTAGTAATTACTACCCAGTGCCATACAACGGAGTTTTTGGACCTGGAATTGCAACGGGTGCTACCAGCCATGTCAGACATATTCCGCCACATGATACATCGGCGTACTTGGCTACTGGTGGCGGGCAAGGATGGTCCATCCAAACGGTCCCGCGGTCGCTGCCCCTCGAGCCGGGCCATCTTGTGGACAACCGCATGCCTGCAGGTTCAACTGTTTATGACCCAACCGCAATGGGTGTCGCCAGCCATATTCCGCCACCGTATACATCGGCGTACTACGTATACGTTGCTGGTGATAGCGGGCAACGATGGCACATGGGAACGGTGCCGGGCTCGCTGCCCCCCGGGTCGAGCCACTGGCATCTTGTGCATCAATGGCACATTGGTGTGCCTTCAGGTTCAACTGCTTATGCCCCAAGGCAGGGTGCCATCCCGGGCCCAAACCCAGCGTATATGGGCTCAAATTTCCCATCGACTTATTCGACTCCATGGAGTCATAGCAATCCATACGGAAATCCACATTTACTCGGCACCATAAACTACGATGATTGGGTCCCGCAAAAGCAAGAAGGATGGTTGAGCCGGTCCCGGAGGAGGCTGGCACGTTGGTTCAAGTTCACGCAGAACCAAGAGCATCTCGAGCCGGGTGAACCTCTCTTCCGCTCGTACACAACTTGAAGGTCCGCATGATCCAATAGTCACTACCTGGTACTTGTATCTAGAGGAGAATATACAAAAGCTGTGCAACCGAATGCGTGTGTGTACCATGACTAGTATATTTGGCGGGTATCGAAACAGAGAGTGAGGAATGATAAGACCCTTGGTAAGTAACGACACTTGATAAGTAGCGGACGCCCTTCAAAATTCTCTCTTGACGACGTTGAAGCACCATAGCGCATCACGGCCGCACGGGTATCATCATGGGACTCGTGAGCAGTGAGCCGACAACACCTGCGCGTACTAGTAACTTGTGTCCAAACGACAGCAGCCGGAGAAGAAAGATACTCGAAGCAGGGAATGGTGTATCTCCGCGTCACTCAAGACACTCGTCTTGGACGATTTGAATCCAACGTCTGAGCAACAAAGGCAACCAAGCGCCGGCGCCGAAGAAGGGCAAGCACAACCGTGCCCCAGACGGTTAGAGAATGTTGGATTACATATCTGAAAGTGATGATATGGCGATTATCGAGCACGTCTCGCTCGCATGAAGGAAGCAAGTCCGTTCCAGCTTTGAATGGGGTCGTTGTCGACATTAGCGCCAATGAGCGCTTCTCGCCCGTAATCGTGTCTGGAAAGAATTGGGTAGCTGGGGATACTCTTGCTGCGCCGCGGGATAGAGCCTATATAGGAGTAGGCGCTGCAAGGGCGACACCACAAACTCCACTCCTGCGGCTATGGTGGACGTGACGGTAGAGAAAGCACGAGACAAAAGAAGTGTTGTCGAGGGAGCAAACTTTGACTCTGAAAATACTAGAGTAGTCGCAGCTCGCGCTACTAGTAGCGCTCGTCCAATAAGCGACAAGTCCACATACCCTTCCCCTCCCTCAATCAGCTCAAAAACTTTCTCCCGAGCTCCCCACCACTTGTCCGCCTCCCTAGATGACCTCCGCCAATGTATATGTCGCCTTTCGACAAAGAATCGCCACCCCTGCCTCCCATACGGCTGCCAGACAAAACGCGCTCGACAACGACCTTGCCCCTCAAATAGCGGGGCAAAAAGAATTGAGTAGGAAGGGACAGGTATGGGTCACAGCGAGATACACTCGATGGAGCGCCATCTGCCGCGTCGCGCGAGATATGAAGCAGCCTTTCGGTCGGCGAGCGAGCACGTGACTTGCCATTTTGGGAAGCCGACGCCGATCGCATGTGGAGGGTGCAGGCAGGGGCGGGGATGGCGTGGGATGGATACGAGGGGAGTAGAGAATCATAGTTAAGGTGTGTGGGCGCAGTTGAAAAAGCTACGATGGTCCACAAGCTTGACGCAAAGCTGTTCTCTCTCGAGGTCGGTCAACAGACAAGCTCGGAAATTCAGCCTATGAGCACAAGCGTAGTCGTTTGTACGCCGATGCGGGGATGATATCGCAGCAATAGTATATGCTATTTGCTCCCCGACAATGAAACGCCTTCCGCGCAGGAAAGCTGGTGTGGCGGCGGCCTTCCTCCTCGATTTGAGAGAAGGAAAAGACGGTGTAGAAGCGTGGAGGTGGACAACGCAACTAGATGAGCTCGCCGGAGCGGTAGCGGCTGCGTTGGGCGATATAGGCGGTTTTCGAAGGGGTGAGGCCGGCACAAGCTGAAGGAAAGCACGGAATCCGACGGCGGGCTGGTCAAGCAGAGGCGTTGAGAAGGTCGCCAGCCTTAACGGCGAGCATTACTTGCGTGTCTGGGAGGTGGTGCTGCCTGCAGACAGGACAGCGCGAACGCCGAAAGTCGATGTAGTGTTTGTCAGGTCGTGCCTCTTTGCGGAGTTGTTGCGTGAGCCAGAATGGGAGGGTTTGGCGGATCTGTTTGCGTTTGGAGTGCGCAAGAAGCTTGGCTGTGGCGATAGATATGACGAGGAACAAGAAAATTGGCAGGTGAGAAGCGGGACTTTGGAGGAGAAGGTCAAAACCAGGGTGTCGACAGTCAGATAGAGACACGCACATGGGTTCCTGAGCACGAATCGTCCAAAACTCTCCGCTCTGGCAGAAGCAGGCTTCCCTCGCCATCGTCTCCACACCGATATGTGGGGTTAGCCACGCCGATATCGACTATGGCGCTGAATGCGGGGAGCCAGGTGCAGTCGAATACGCTCCCAAAAGCCAGTGTGGAGGTTCTGGGTATGTTTGTCAGCTTGGAGACCTCGTTGACGAGGAAAATAAAGACACACGCACCTTTCACGCCCACCAGCGCTCCCAAACTCCCATCCGCCTGCCTCCTCCAACGATGTATTACGTTTGGCGCCGCCTGTTGCGGGCAGACCCCCAGCCGCGGCTGTCATCGCAGGCGATGGAGTCGGCCATGGTTGTCGTGGTGGAAGTGGAGAGGAAGATCGGTGTGGGCACGTGCTCGGGCCGATCGCTGTCTTCCGCGACGACGACACCTGCGACACCTTCCCCTCCCGCCTTTCGCTGGCCAATATTGCTCAAGCCTCTCCCATTATAATGACGCGTCTCCCTCCTGAGCTCCTCGAGTCCATTGTCGCTGAAATACCTAAAAATAATCCGCGAACGGTAAAATCCTGCTGCCTTGCCGCATCTGTCTTCCGCCCTGTATGCCAAAAGCGCTTATTCCAGTGCCTCTTCTTGGCCTCCCGGCTGATAATCGGAGATGTCGACGACCCAGAGCCCAACGAAGACGAATTCAGCTTTCCTCGGTGCTGGCGCACCTACTCCTCCATTATCGCGCTCTGGAGCAGGGCGCCTTGTCTTGCCGCATACACAAACTCCATTGTCCTTACAATGTATAACTCCTCGTCTACCACAAAATCTAACTGGCGGGCTGAGCGCTCCCGCGGCAGCAACCGTGCTTGCGCAGCTGACGGAGCTGCAGGAGGTCAAGATCTGGGACTGTGGAGAGTACAAATGGGGGCGCCCATGCGCGGACAACGATATTGTCGAAATGCTGCTCCACAAATACTCCCACCCCCAGTGCAAACTGAAGCGGTTTGAGCTGGACAGCTTATTCGCTACTCATGTCCCATCGGAGACGCTGCTGAAAATGCTAGCTGTGGCCGACTCCGTCAAGTACTTCGCGGTCGAGCCAGAGAACGACGATACATGGCTGGAGCCAACACCCATCAAAACAACACCGCTGGCGGCGCTAGTGGTGTCAAGATCCATGCTGGGCCCGAGCTGGGCCAAAAGAATTCGCCGAAACCCAGGTAGCGGCGCGAAATCGGCGGGAGGCGGCGCTCCCGGTTTTTTTGTAGACAATATCTCCGCGAGTATTGTACATAATAGCACACTGTATACACCATTCGATAGATCTCGTCGAGTAAGCTCGAGCCCACTACGTTGCGGCGCGAACGATGCCCGCGTTGGTGAGCACTGGTCTTGACAAATGTTGGGGTGGCGGCTCATATCGGCGGGTGGCGGAAGTGACAGTGCATTTTGCCGCATTCTTTTGGGTAGCGGCACTGGATAGCAGTAGTGAGGCGGCTGGTCGCGGCTTTTGCACAAACGATAGCGGCTCTGGCGTGACAGGTGGCGGCCCTCTGACAAACCTGGGTAGCGGCGATGTAGGCCGTAGCTGCAGTACCGAAAGCGGCAGTTGCGGCTCTCAAGTCCATCATTTCTCCAGTGTTCGACATCTTGAACGAACATCCTCCTCGTCATGATCGTCGTGGCAGGCGACAGCCTTCCTTCGTCATCGTCCACGGTTACGGTCGCCTGCCACGATGACAGCTCTGTGGATCATGATGCGTGATTCGTATCACCGCATCTTGCTTCCGCGCCACCACCATCTATCATCTCGCTGCAGAGCACTCGCGCTGTCGGCTAAGCTCACAGTTGCTCACTACTAACTGGGTCTGCATGCGCCGCTATCCGCTATCCTGGGCGCGGGACCCGCCACTACCCCGCGACATCCGCCGCAATTACACGCACCAACAAGCTTGACCTGCGCAGCCTTGCGGTGCCGACCTGGCCCCACCAACGTCAACAGGTAGAAGAAGCTCTTCTGCTCCACTACCGTCCTTCGCAATGCTATCCGCCTAACTCGCAAGCGCCGCGCAAAGGCAGCCAAAATGTCAACACCTTGCGGCGTCAACCGACTCGCTCTCGCTCTTGGGCCCAGGTATCGGATGCCTTCCTGTTGGCAGAGACATGGCCGCAAACCTTCCTTGGAGCTCCCCGATCCGTGAACGACCATGACGGATACGTCCTGCAAGGCTTCACAGACGGGGGGAGACGCTCTCCGGGGGCGGTGGGGGGGCGAAACAGTGAAGATTTGGCCGGAGTTGGCCAGAGTCGCGCCTGGCGCTGGCCTGGATCCAGCCGGTGGATCGGCGCGCAAGTCTACACAATTCACCAGCAAGTACGGCGTGTGGTGCTTGTCGATCTTCACGCAATCCACCCCCATAACCGCCCGTGCGGGCATATTTTGGCCCCAGATGTTCTCAGATATTGGTGTTGGTTGTTCTCGCCTCGTGTGCTGACCAGTGGCGTGTTTAGTGCGCGTTGGGAGGTTCTGAGCGAGTCTGAGGGCCGCCTTGAGACGGCGCGAAGTGCGGGAGAGGCGAGTGGGAGCTAGAGGGAGAGCGGGAGTCCTGTGCCAATGTAAGGGCAACCCCGGAGGCCTGAGATCAAGGTCCTAGCAGGGGAGGATCCAAAGCGTGAACATTGGTAAGCGAATACAAATGAAGCTGACCTAGCAGGGGAGGATCCAAAGAGAAGAAACTCTAAGGGTCCGCCTGCTAGGTAGCTGACTATATACTGCTTGTCCGTAGCTGCCGCTGTCGGGCACAGAAGGCTTGGGCGGCGTCGCAGGCGAGGTCCCAGGGCGACCGTCGGGAGGGCGTTGACGGATCGGTGATTGTGCGGGCGAGATGGAGGGCCGGACCGGAGACGGAACCGAGTCGGACCGGAATCGGAGGCGTCTCCGAGGGGCCGAAAGGGAGGTTCCCCTGACATCACCCCCCTTTGAATGCGGCGTCCCGACGCATAGACCGGAACGGAATCGAGTCGAAGGTCGCGGAGGCGATGTGTCGTGGCTTGCCAGGGTACTTACGATAGAACTCCGCAATTTTCTCCGGGGCGAAGACGCGGTCGAAGCGGACCCATTGGTCGTGCGATGCGTCGTGTAGCCTTTCCATCTGACGAAGTAGTTCAGCCGCTTATACCTCACCCTTGCGTCCAGGATTTCCTCTACTTCCCACTCCGGGACTCCGTCCTCGAGGTCCGGAGGGGGCTGGTCGTAGCCGGGGCGTCCGTCGAAGGGGTCGTCCTGAGCGAGCTCGAGCTTGACGACGGGGAAGACCGGGTGGAGCTTCGAGTAGCGCGGAGGGAGGTCGAGCTTAGTAGGCACCTTTGCTGATCTCCGCGACTATCTTGAACGGCCCAAGGCGGCGATGGGAGAACTTTTCCGAGGGGCGAGTCGTCCTGATGTCAGAGGCATCCAGCCAAACACGGTCGCCAACCTTAAACTCCGGAGACGGAGTCCGTCTCCGGTCGTAGTAGCGCTTGTACTCCTCTTTGGCCTTAGTGAGCGCGGCCTTGGCTTCAGCAACACCAGTGGCGATCCGGTCGCGGAACTCGTTCACTGACTCCATGGCGGAACGGACTCCGGGTTCAAGCCCATGCGCGGGAGCCGTCCCGTGTCCGTCATGAAGGGGACCTGCTGCGTGGAGGAGTGAACGTGGTTGTTGTAGGCAAACTCCGCGGCCGGAATCAGCTCATCCCAGTCGTCCTGCTGGTAGTTGGTGAAGATCCGCAAGTACTGCTCCAGCTCCTGGTTGACGCGCTCTGTCTGACCGTCTGTCTGCGGGTGGTACGCGGTGGACGTGGCGGGCTTGATGCCGATTAGACGCCAAAGTTCTCGGGTGAAGTCCGCGATGAACTGCGAGCCGCGGTCGGAGACGTACTTCTCCGGAGTCCCATGGTGCCGCCAGACATTCCGGTAGTAGAGGCGGGCTGCCCCTACTGCATCGACCGTCGTATGACACTCTGAGAAGTGGGCGCTTTCCGAGGGTGTCAACGACGACCATGATCGCGTCGTACCCATGGGCTTCGGGAAGCTCTACGATGAAGTCGACGGAGACGGTATGCCAGCGTTCGGGAGGCGTTTCCGTGGGGTGCAGTTCTCCGTGGGGCAGTCTCCGGAGTGCCTTGGTGCGACAGCACAAGTCACAGGTCGCAACATACCGGCCGATATGGCGAGACATCTGAGGCCACCAGTAGTTCCGGGAGACCAACTCCAGGGTCTTGAAACGACCTGCGTGTCCGGCGACTCGGGTGTCATGGCAGAGCTCGATGATGCGTCTCCGGAGGTCCTTGTCTTTTGGTACGACGATCTTTCCTCGGAAATGGAGAAGACCGCCGGAGACGGCCCACTCGTCAGAACGTGAGGAGCGGGGGCCTCGAGCTTGACCTTGAACCTTAAGAAGTTGCCGGGCCGCTAGTGCGACGGGCTCCTCCAGGTCAGGCTCACCGGAGAGGGCATCACGGATGTCACGGAGGAGTTCAGAGCCGGGACCGAAACGGAAACGCCCTCGAGTGCGCGGACGTGGAAGAGTTCAGGCCGCAGAAGGACGACGTCGGAGTTGTCGGAATCGACTCCGTGGTCGGGTCTCCGGGAGAGGGCGTCAGGCCGACCCATATCGCGGCCAGGTTTGTGGTGCAGCGTGAAGTCGAACCGGGAGAGGTACAGAGACCACCGGGCCTGTCTCCGGTTGAGGTGTTGCGTCTTCCTGAAGTACTCCAAATTCTTATGGTCAGTCCAAATCTCGACAGGGTGCGCGGCGCCCTCGAGGAAGTGTCTATATTCCTCGAGTGCGCGGATGATCGTGAGCATCTCCTTGTCGTGGATTTCGTAGTTGCGCTGGACATCATTTAAGCTTTTGGAATAGAATGCTACAGGGTGCCACTTCCCGTCCGGGGCGGATTGTGAAAGAACCGCCCCGTCGCATAATCAGAGCTGTCCGCCTCGAGTCGGAAAGGCCGTGTGTCGTCCGGAATCGCCAGGACCGGTTCCGAGGTGACCGCGTCCTTGATCGCTTGGAACGCGGAGGCCTCCGCGTCGCCCCAAGTCCATTGCTGGTCCTTCTTGGTGAGCACGAAAAGAGGGCGTGCAAGGGTCGAGAAGTCCCGAATGAACCTGCAGTAGAAGTTAGCGAACCCGAGGAACTGCTGAATGTCCTTCTTGTTTTCCGGAGTCGGCCAAGCGGAGACGCCTGCGACCTTGACGGGGTCCATTTCGACGTGGTTGTGGGAGATGATGACTCCGAGGTACTCGATTGATGATTTTTCGAAGTCGCACTTCTCCGCTCGGAGGTACAACTTG